GGGGGGTGATGTCTTGCTTTCTGTCTCTCTCTTTCTGGCAAGTGCACGCGCTCTATAGCAAAAACCTCTCCAAAAAACAAAGTTGGGAAGTTCCTGGTTTATGCTAGAGACCTGCGTGAATATGCCAGGCATACATGTGCCCAGGATCCGGGGCTGGCTGAGGTTGGGGATGGACTGCAGCATCAAGACCCAGTCATGGGTACTGTATATCTGTCTCTCTCCCTTGTTCATGGAAGAAATAAACTTCACCAAAAAATAAGTTGGGAAAACATAGTCCAGCATTTTATTTAAATATACTCTCATATCTTTTTTTTGAGAATTATTTTTTACTTATTTTTTTAAGAATTATTTAATTTAACTTAATTTTTTAAAAAGAATTATTTTATTTAATTTTATTTATTTTAATTTGACCGGAGAAGGACAGCATGGGGGGGTGGAGAGGTAGAAAGTAAGCCACCAGGTCTGGGACTTGAACTACAGTGGCCGTGTGGGAGTCCAGTGCCCCCCCATCACCACGTCACCTATTGGCCCCTATTTCATTTTATTCATTCATTAATTTATTTCATTTTTATTTGACCAGAGAGAGACAGAGCATGCGTGCACATGTGCTCGTGTGTGCAAGAGAGAGAGAAAGTGAGAGAGCAAGCCGCCAGGTCCAGGACTTGCTGGCCCCAGGAATTATTTATTTAATTCCATTTTGCTATTATTATTATTATTATTTTTAAGATTTATTTATTTTGGGGCCAGCAGGTGGCATGGTGGTTAATGGTGCTGGACTCCCACATGACTTGCTTTCTCATCCCCCCTCCCTACTCTGTCCCTCTCTGGACAAATTAAAAATAAATAAATAAGGTTGAATAAAATAATTTAAAAAAGAAAATCATGCCTGGTGCATGTGTATGCATGCCCAAAAATCCCAGGAGAAGAATGGAGAAGGGACTGCAGCATGGCTACCCCAAAGAGGGGTAAGTTCTCACTCTCTCTCTCTCTCTCTCTCTCTCTCTCTGGGGAGCACATGTGCCCTATGTGTAAAATGTTAAAAAACAAACGAGAGAGGGGACCAGCAAGTGGCACGGTGGTTGGGGAACTATACTCTCATGTGGTCGAGCATATTCGAGTCCTGAACTTCGCAGCTTGCTTTCTCACTTTCTCTCTGTCTCTCTCTGGTGAGCACATGTGCCCTGTAGCAAGTTTATTTATTTATTTTGATAGAGAAATTTTTGCTACAGGGCACGTGTACTTGTTGGAGAAACAGAGACAGAGAGGTAGAAAGCGAGAAATCACCCCCCTAGGGGTGATGGCTATACTGCAATCCTCCTTTCCTTCATTCTCCTCTTGGGAGACTGGCATGCACACACACAAATGCCTGGCCTGAGTTTTAAGCTGCTGGGTCTGGGACTTGAACCACGATCCACTACATAGGAGCCCAGCCATGTAACCATTACGCCATCTGCTGGTCCCACTCTGTAGCAAATTTTAAAAATAATGACGATGATAAATAAAATAGACAAATAATCCTAAAAAGAAAAAGAAGCAATTTTGGTGCAAAAAAAGTTTTGAAATCCACACACAGTCTTTTCATAACACACATTTTCCACGAACTTTTTGAAGAACCTCTCATACACATGTGGATGTGCTGATAGCACATGGTGTCATAAACAACAAAACAAAACAAAACATGAAGTAATTACAAAAGCATGAACTATGGAGTTAAACTAGGGCTTAAAATTCATCATTGCCAGGTCACTGGTGGCATGGTGGTTAATGAGGTTGGATCTCACATGGTCAACAGTGCGCTTTGAGCCCTAGACCCAGTGGCTTAAGAAACATGTGAAGTATATGTTTGTGCAGCAACAAAATCCCAAAAAGAGGAAGAAATGGAGAGAAAGGGATTGTGGCAAGACCTTTCCCATAGGGGGTGCTTTCTCACTTTCCCTCTCTCTGTGTCTCTCCCATAATTGCACATGCCCTCAATAAATAAATAAGTATCTTATAAAAAATTAATTATTGGGACCAGCAGTTAGCGTAATGGCTATGTCGCTGGACACCCACGTAGTCGACCGCGGTTTGCGTCCCAGGCCCGGTGGTTTAAAATTCATGCCGGGCACGCGTGTGTGCGTGCCCAAGATCCCGAGAGGAGAACGGAGGAGAAGGGATTGTGGCATGGCCATCCCCCCTGGGGGGTGATTTCTCGCTTTCTGTCTCTCTCTGTTTGGTTGAGCGCATGCACCCTATAGCAAAAACCTCTCAAAAAAATTAATTATTGCTACACCACTGACTTAAACTTTGGCTAAAATATGTCCCATGGTATCTGAGGAGCTCCTTAAGAGCAGCAGTCATCTTATTTGTGCTTTTTGACCCCCAGTCTCCGGACTGGTTCACCTGGCTTGCGTTCCCAGGGGCAGAACGCCCAAGGACCATTTCCTGCTTAATTTTCAACAAAATTAACAATGCCAGAACAGCTTAAGAACTCACCAGCAAAAGGAAACAGTCTGTGCCACATGGTTCTGGTTCAATCTTGATTTCTTTGTTCTTGCGTTTATATACATTAGGGGTGGCATGGAAAGCTGGAAAACAAAGGCTCTCCTGTTTCCAATGGTCTATCTACTTGATAGGATGGGGAGGAAATGGAACTAGAGAGCTACTGCAGGAGTCAGGGTTCAATATAAACAGCCACCCCCAAGGTGCACAGAATGTAGTCATTTCTGATACTAACACGACCCTTTCAAAGCTAGGAGGTACTGAGGGACAATTACATTGCTGAACTGACCCTCTGTGAAGCCACATGGGCTCAGTAGCCAGGAACTCTGCATGCTCAACTAGACCGTGGGGAAGGTGATATCCCTTGGGGATACAAGGGAGGAGGGCATTTCAAACAGAATAGCCCCACTCACGGTGAAGGAAGCAGTCGTATTTAAAGCAGCGCCGGCAGAAAAGTGTGTGGAAGGAGTGCAGAGATTGCTCCCGCTGCACAGACTTGGCATTGGGGCCATCGATGTTGGGTGTGCACTGAGGGGGAAGTGCATTGGGGTCTGACATCTCTGTTAGCTCTCGATACCTATTTAAGAAAAGAGAGAGAAGAGTTTCTCCAAGGGTATGTCTGCACCAAGAAAATGCATACTGGGTACCTGGGAACCGACAGTCACCGGGTGTGGGTGTGGTCTGCCAAAGGAGGATGGGGGTTTCTGGGCCTGGCTGATAAGGGAATGGTGTACGGCTAAGTGGATCTGTAATCCACTGTCATTGTGCTGGGCTGGGCACAGTCTGAAAGTCAGAGGAGAGAAGCACTGGGGAAGCGTGGTGCTGGAATTACTCCCCAGAAAAATGAGAGTCAAGTTCTCTGCCCAGGCTTTCTCAAAAGCCACCACACGACTATGCTTAATATGACAAGGGGCATTCTAAGGTAAATGAGTGAACAAACAAGAAATAATCAGAAGCACAGGCAGATCTTAGCACCCTCACCATAAACAAGGCTTTTTATGGGCCAGAAAACAGGCTTGAATAAAAGTTTTGTCCAAGCACTCTGGATACAGCCTGAGTGGACGGCTTTCCCTCCCT